GGAAAAGCGTTTTTACCAGAAATGAGATAAATCACACTTCAGCTTCAGCGAGTTGGGAACCTGGATTTAGAGCTTGATTTTACTCCTCGAATCGATTTTTATTCCTCCTTGTCACAGGGTACCCCGCAAAAATTTGAAATGACCCCGCCCTAAGGGCAGTTTGCCATGTCTTGATGTTAATAGATATATATATTGCAGGAGGATGCCCTGATCCTATTATAATGACTGCCCAACTTGAGGTTGTGGCCTTATGGGCCAATCACATGGCTCTGTACCTTCCCTATACCATGTCCCATGCCTCGCAGATGACATCCTTACTGATGTTCAGCCAATTGCTGAAGCAGCCCTTCACTGGGCCTTCAGACCCCTGGGCCTCTCTCAGCCCCACTCTGCACCTTCAGACCCCTCGGCCTTTCTCAGCCCCACTCAGGTTGCCAGGCCTCTCGGTCTCATGCAACCACTCCCTGGGCTACCAGGCTCCTCGGTCTCTCTCTTGGCCCCTCTCTGGGATGCTGCCCCTTCTGGTCCCTTGTCCTGGACCCATCTTGTTCTCCCGTTTTCCAAATGCTCTCCAGGCCCTCAGGCCCCCTCTCACTGGGCCTCACTATGTAGCTCAGCCCCACTTGCTGGGCCTCTCCCCAGGCCTCTGGACCCATGTGGTCCTGGTCTACTCTGGCCCACTACTGGGCCTCTGGCCCCACAGTGGTCCACCGCATCTTCCTTGCCAAGTGCTTTTCTGTTGGGGTGTGCTCCCCTAGCCCTCTCCCTCTGTCGGGTAACCCACAAGGCAGTGGGAGCTGAGGCTTTCCAGTGCTCCATGCTTGCCTTTCCCTGGAGTGGTCCATGCATGGCATTGCATGGAGGCTGCCCCACCACAGGCAACCCCACCATGCTAAACAGCTCCAGTAGGGTGCAGTTTCAGATCTTACCCAGGACCAGTCTTCAGGCCTACCTGATTTTACACGTTCCTCTCTGGGCTCCCCCTAGATGTCCTACATCCTTCCTTGGCTGCTAACCACCAGGCCCCTTAGCCCCAGCTCCGTCTTCACTCTGAGTCCTCCATCTTTGGCCTCCAGCTCTCTCTCGGACCCCTGTCCTTGATCCCTCCTCCTCCAACAACCTAGTACCAGCCGTTGTCATCATGGGCTGACCCCTCCCTATTGGTTGTGCCCCCCCTCCCCGGGACCTATGGCGTCTTCTAGGCCCTGGCCCTGCCTCCAGGCCAATCGAGACTCCCGGCTCCCAGTTCTGGCAGTCTCTCACGGTGTCTAAGCCCAGCCCTCCTCCAATCAGGGATCTCCCTTGCAATTGGTGACTCCCTTGATTGGGCCTAGCCTCGCCTGCCAGCCCCTGGCTCAACTGACTCTCCAATTAGCCCTGACCCCCACCTGCCGGTGGCTCAGCAAGCTGCCTGACCTCTTGAAGTGGCAGGTGTACCAAGTGCCCTGCCACACACTTGCTTTCTGTAAAAGAAACTTTTAAACATTTGAAGCTAGAACAATCTAATGCACAAAAAGCAGGTGTACACACACACAATAGAGCTGGCTGACATTTTTAAGATTAAAGATAGAATATGCTGGAAAATGCCATTTGGTCAGCCCCGATCTATTCAGAAACTTGGGTTAAACTTGCTGATTGACTGGAAAAAATATGGGAGGGAGGGGGGAACAGGTGGCTAGAGTCACAAAATTGCTGAAGAAAGAGGTAGCCATAGCTAAGGCTTAGCTCAGACACCTGGGATGTGGGTACCTGGAATCCCTTTCTTCCCCTTCACCTCCATGCCTACTTCTTCAAAACAAGAACCCTAACTATTAGGTTGCAAAGTATTCTCAGGGGCCACATGAGCCCTTCCACTTTGTACGACTAATCAAATATTCACTAGAGCAAGAATCCACCCGAAGATGAGTGTCCTAACCTCCCAGGCTAGTTAACTATTTCATGCAAAATGGAACAGCTTTAACTTAAGAAGTATATACAGATGCCCTCACTTCCCTTTCAGAATACCCGAGACTGGTGGCTAGGACATTGGCCTGAGAAGGGGAAGACCAAGTGCAACTCCCTCTCCTGAATCTACAAAAGGATTCATACCAAGATGTCCCTCCTCTTGGGTATTCTAACCACTGTGCTAGCATGCATTTTGAAATGGTCCCTGTAACAGGGAGCCAGGGGTCCCTGTAACTTTAAGGGAGAAGCTGCAGCAGCAATGTCCCCAGGTGGAGGAAGGCTTTGTAGTATGGGCTAGCTACAGGGGAGTAGGTGGCCAGGGACCCATAGGTGGCAAGTGCCTGTTGTGGAGCTAGCTGCCTAGCAGTAGGACTGTAGCACAGAGCCCTGGTAAGGCAGCAAGAGCACTGGCCATAAGCTGCTCTGGAGCCTGCGGGGTCACACCTGTGGCCAGTCAGGGGAGGAGCCAGGTGATAGAAACCTGGGCCCCTAAGACAGAGAGACAGTGTAACCCTAAATTTGGCAGGGAGAGGAGCTCCTGCCAGCTCAGGCTGCTGAGGGGTGGGAACTGCAGGTGTGCCAGGCACTCCCAGGACAGAGAGCGCCAGAGAATGGGGAGGTGGCTTGGTAGCAGCATAACCCAGAGGGAGAGACTTTGAGTTTACAGAGAAGCTGCTTGTGGTTTTTTGTTCTAGTTCAATATCAGAGGTCTGGATGTGGCTTTAGGGGCTGAGGGGCAGGCCAGGTTTTGAGCCCTGCCAGGCAGGGGTGCAAGACTGAAGCAGGCTGAGGCCGAGAGGGCCAGAACCTGAACCCAGAGGGGTTGGCAGGGGTGGCCTGAGGCTGAGAGGGCCAAAACCTGAGCCCAGAGGGGTTGGCAGGGGTGGCCTGAGGCTGAGAGGGCCAAAACCTAAGACCAGAGGGAACGATAAAGATGGCCTGAGGCCGAGGGTGCCAGAGCCTGAGCCTGAGCCCAGAGGGGATGACAGGGCAGCCTGGGGTCTGTGAGAGGCTAAGGGTGAAAGGCCAGGCCAGGGCTTCCAGCCTACAGCCAGAGTAACCTGTAAACTAAGGCTAAGGAGGTTGAAGCCTACAAAGAAGTAACTGGCAACAAAGTGACATCTATGAGGCATGGACATGACTGTAGGGTGGAAAGAGGCCATGGATAGCCCTTAATCATCCCAGAGGCAGTGATGGGGCTTGAAGAACAGGACTGGGGTCAGCTAGGTATGGCAGCGAGGGGTGGGCGGTGGTGGGGGGGATGGGATGGGACGGGACAGGACGGGACAATGACCCACTGACCAAAGCAGGGTAGGACTGACTCAGGGACCCTGGGCCAGTCTCCCTTCTTCAACAGGAAATAACGCTATCAAGGTGTAGCAGGTGAGAGAAAAAGGGAGGGTGTCCAGAGGAGGCAGAGGGTGGCAGGAACCACATGATCACTGGAGGGCATCACAGCTGCCCTGGGGCCTGATTCTGTCACAATCCCCTTCCCCAGGCACTAGTATTGGTATTGTGCCACTTGGCATGTAATATTTACAGAGCTGTTTGAAGAAAGAAAAATGAATGTGCAGACACACATAACTGAACCACTCCCAAATGTCAGTGTTTGAGAGCTGGTTCCCAACTGCGTGAAGAGCTGTGGCTCTGACACGAGCAGGATGGGAGTAAGCATCCGGTCTAGTGTGCCCCGCAGTGGGGGTGAGTGCTTGTACCCATGCTTCTGGGGGGTGACCTGTGACTGGGGCTGTTGTCATGTTCCTGCTGTCCCTTGTTTTCTAAATGTGAGTTCAGGAACTTCGGTAGCCTGCAGTTGATTGAAGTCTGCAGTGTGCTTGCCTGACAGGGGGCTAGAGGGCATGATGAGGAGTTGCAGCTGCTTAAGGAGTGAGAAGCAAGGAGTGCAGTCGCTAGAAAGAAAGATTTATGGACCAAGCAGTTCGAGGTTGCTCAGTGATAGAAACTGCCAACAAAAAGGGGGGGAAAGCAGGTAGTAGAGTTTTGGCTGCATACCAGAGTGGCCAGCTGCAGCACTGTGAGCAGCAGGGGTGAGAGGCAATGCAGCGTGGGATGCCTGGAGAACTGACCAGACCCATGTCACAGAACACTTGGTGTCCACACATAACGCTGAATCAGTTCAAAACAGTATTTGACTTTCCAAGTACACTTTTGAACTGTTTCAGAAAGATTTGAACTGATTTAACAGGTTTGCTTGGCTGTCTGCCACAGGTTTAAACCATGTTTAAACCATTCTAGGCGGTATGTGTGTCCATACCCTGAATCTCTAGCCTGCTGGTTAGGACCTCTTCAGGTAGGGCACACTGGTTTCAACCTCTGCTCTAGTGAATATTTGTTATTGCTGAGTTGAACAACGGCAACCTCCCCCCCAACCCACCAATAGCCTGGTGGTTAAGGTGTTCTCATGGGAAACGTGGGTTTAAATCCCATCAGGCAAAAGAGGGACTCAAACTTGGAATCACCACATCTTGGGTAAGGTCTCAGCCTAGAGCAACTTGGGGAAATGGGAATTTGTTGACGTTGTTCTTACAAGTATCTGAAGAGGAAATGTTTTGGGTCAAATGGGACATTTCGCTGACTGTGACATTGCTGATTTTTTGTTCTGGGGGGTTAAAATATTAAACACTTGATGTCTGTTACAGTTGGAACCATTTCTTCTTTCTTTACTTTTTTTTAAAAATGCTGCCAAATCATAGCATCAATTATTTGCACAGCTCTAACACATGGGATCCAGCCTAGTTTCTATGTTAATTATACATCCCTCTAAAATTTTAATCTGGGCTTTAACTCACTTCTGAGTTCATAACCATCTGCATAGTGTTGCAAGTTATCTTTCAGGGGTAGGACAGGCTATTTGCATTGCCTCTGTAGAGGTTTGGGCTGTTATTTTGGAAACTAAGACAGGGAGTGTTTAAATGGGCAGATAGGAAGGAGTTGTTGGACTATCAGCTCCCTGAGACAACTGAAGAGAACAAGACATCACAGAGTTAACATTAATCTCAAAAGAGTTTGAGTTATTGTATTTTCTTGTGTGGCAGGCTTACCGATAGCTGCTTGGCGTGTCCGGGCTTGGAGAATCTTCATTGTGACTGGTGGAGCCATTCCACCAATCAGGCGAATGCTGGGGAGGAGCTTGCCCCGCCCCTACCCGGTCAAGACAGAGAACCTGGACCTGGTTGAAGCCTGCACCTTGCTTCAACCTGATTGGTCCATTTGCAATCTGGGTGCAGAGTCCTCGAAGGGTATATGAAGAGCAGTGTGCTTGGCACAGGGGGGCTGCATCGAGGGACAGAGAAGAGGATGGGCAAAAAGAAGAGCTGGCAAGAGCCGGCCAGCGGGGCAGAGCTCTTGCCCTGAAGACCTCTTCACTGGATGGGAGGGGCAACCGGCCACGTCCCTAGCCCGCCGCTGAGGAATGTGGTATCAGTGCAGGCAGCACTGCATGGAGGGGCCAGGAGGGACCAGGACCCTGGGAGCCACTCAAGGCGGCTCAGGTCTGCAACCCCTGGTGTGCGGCCTGGAATGCAGTGCGCAGGCTGACGCATGGAGCAGGACCCTGAGAGCCGCTCGAGGTGGCTCGGGTTTACAACCCCTGGCTCAGGACCAGGCAGTCAGTGCCAACAGCATGGCACAGAATGGTCCGAGCAGAATCAGGACCTTGGGAGCCACTTGCGACGGCTCAGGTCTGGCACAGAACCAGCAGCCCGGTGCAGACAATGCTGCACGGAGGGCTCAGGAGCAGACCAAGCCCCAGTGTTGCATGAGGCGGCCTGGGCCTCCAACCCTTAGCAGAAGGCAAAGCCTGGGAGCACATGATGGTGCTCAAGGCTCCAAACGGGCCAGCAGCTCAGAAGGAGTCAAAAGCCCAGGAGGCTCCTGCAAGCGAGGAGCAAAAGGCCTGAGGGGCCAAGGACCATTCACTCTGGACCCTGGAGTCATGAGCTGCTGGGGAAAGGGGTTCCCACAGGGGAGAGGAAATTCCTTCTGGTTATTAAGTGGCTCCTGGAGGGGAGGTCCCAGGGGGAGAGGGGCCCCCTCTGAGTTTATAGGCTTCATTAGGGCTGGAGGAAGGGTCAAGAGGCATTAGGGTTTTCCCCTCCCACTAGTCACTGGAGTGCAGCCCATGCCTTAGGAACAGCCCGGGCTTTGGGGACTTTTGAAGAGTCAAGTTTATTTTTGATGTTTTTGTACCTTATATTTTGTGAGAGAGCGCCTCATATTTTGTAACACTGAATCTTGTATTTTGTGTATTTTTATAATTGTATATTGGTAGTTTAATAGTGTAGAGTATGCTTAGCCGGGGCTCTGCTGAGACCCCTTCCTTGATACTTACCAGTGCTTACCTGTACTTACCTGTTGCTTACCTGTTTCAGAAAAACTGCTTACCCATGCATTGTTCAATGCTTCTTGAGGTGGTGTAATCTTTCAGCCTTCATTTGTGGGATATAATGTTATATGACAATTGTATATCTGTGTATATATGTTTCTCAATATCAATTTCTTTAGATTGTGTATATATTAATAAATCTGTAGGTAGTTAAGCATTCCTTGTTCGATTTGGAGAGGGGAGCACATATGTGGGTGCACCCCAGTTACGCTTGATTCCAAGGCAAGGTTTTTTCCCCCCATTTAACATATGGGGGGAGCCCTTTGTCAAGGCAATGGGAGGAGAGGGGGAGCTCTGTCCCTGACACTTCATGGGGCTCTCATGTACAATAACTCAGTTGCGTCAAACCCTCAATGTAGATATGCTTTGCTTTTAACTTTTAACTTCAACTGAGTTACTTCACACTGAAAGCAGCAGAAGGGTAGAATTTGATCATGTCTTTCATTATTTTGAACCATCTTCAAAGCAGATTTGTAGACACTTTCTGGTGTTTGCTATGCACCACCTTTGGTGCCTGAGCTGCAGAAAATGAGTCTGCTACTATTGCCAGGTAAGCAATAAGGGCCCTTCAACTCAAGTTGTAGAGGCTTGTGCTGGAGATGGCATCTCAGTTGTGCTGCCCCAGCTATAGTCTGTCACACAAGAATGGAAAATGAATCTAAAACGCTACCAATTTAGAATGATGCCCTTTTATGTCCACTTGGCAGTGGTGGAACTGACCACAATTATATGCTGAGTAACAATGAACTGGGACCATGAAAGGTGGGATGCAATGAGAAGCCAGAGACGAGGTTGATTTTGTGAGGTTTACAGGCTGTGATCCATCCTTCTGCGTGAGGGTAGGAATCCCTCCTCTTCAAGCAGTTCACATGGAGAAAACGTGTGAGTTGAACGTGGGGGCATTTTTTTTCCCTCCTGTGAGATTTTACCTGCAGGAGGCAAGCTCTCCTACAGAGGGAAGTTGGTTTTCAGGCTAAAATACCATTCTTATTCACAAGGTGAAACCAACAGGGCTTTCTGCTCTGATCCTTCCAGTCCAGTCAGAATAGTAGCACAACAGAAATGGACTGGGCAAAATGTAGCATAAAGGAAGACTTAACACAGCTTATGAACCTTTATTACCTCCTATTCATGCACACACACATAAATATGCACACCTATACGCATATAAATTAGTAAATCCTAAATTAACAGGACAAAGATCCTTTTGACAGGTATGCTGGCTTCAGATCCCATCATGCTGAAAGCCACTATCAACGTCTTCTCTGTAAGACCAAGGAGTTCTACAGTCAAGAGGCTGCTGAATAGAGCTACTGCCCGTAATCCACTATTCAGAGAATCCAGAGATGAGACAATGACTAAAGGTAAAAATCTGAATCCTTTTGAATTTTAAAAGGCAGAACAGCCTCTGTTTTAGATCCCTGGGTCTACACCTGTCCTGGGTTACTTTTTTTAACTTTGGGTCATAAAGAAAGAACAAGACAAATACAGAAAATTAACAGAGATAACTTATTTCCCAGTTTGGACACAGATGCAGCCAAATTTTTGCAAGAAGAGCCTGTGAGATTTTGGCACCAAAATCAGTAGCCTTGAAGCAGAAATCCCAAGGCTGGAGCTAATGCAAAGCCAAACATCATCTCCTAGGCTCGTCCCTAATGAAAACCAATTCCCACTAACACATGTAAAAATTCAATTCAAGTCCTGCCTAGTTATATTTGCTACACCGGCCTTCTTTCCCTTGTTCTCTTGGGAAAATATGATGTTTAGTCCTCCTTCAAAGGCCCTGTTGTGAATACAAACACTCTCTAACCCTGTATGCCCCTTAGCCTGTTTCTGGGCTGCACACTCAACACGCCTGCATTATGCACTGACAGGGGAAATCATTGTTGCATGTTATGCTTAAATATCAATTATAGTAAAGAAACCATGACGAGCCCTTGTGTCTGCATCAGCTTTTACCTTGCTTTCTTAAGGCAGACTGTGTATAAATGCTAAAGCTGGGCATTAAGCAGGGGACTGCTTAGGTGTTGGCTGAATTCTTTGTAACTGGATCGAGTGGTTGAAAGAACCAGTAGGCTGCCACCTGGTGGAAGAAAAACCAATGAATGCTGGAAAAAGCCATTTAAAAGGCTTGAAAGAAATTATTACCTGCAAATTCAAATGTTACCACCCTAAGCAGGGGGTACTTTGCCCTGGTTAAATAAGGTCATTTATGTAGGTGGTTGAATATAGATTAAGCATGAAGGGACAAGTACAAGGCCACAAAGAGTTGAAGGAAAACTCAAGAGCCTGCAGCAGCTATACCTCTGCTTAGAATATATCTATGTCCTTTTGCTAACACTGTTAGAAAAGGCTTCCTGGAAATTTTAACTAGTACACTTATTAGATACTAATGGATGTGGCTGGATGGGAGTGAAAATACAATCACTGTCTAGAGCCTACAATATATATATTTGATTAAGCTTTTACAAGTATTTTTCTTCAAGAGTCTGGGGGGAGGGACAAAATCCACCCATGTGTGAGTGATTCATTGTGTCCCTGTCACCATGTTAAATCAAATTAAACTCTGTGAAAAAGAAAATTGCATTTTTACAGCAGTGCCTGTTAATGCTACTGTAATTAGGGCTCCATTATAGACCTACACATAAGAGGTTTCAAAACACAACTGTGTAAATTCTCTCTGAATAAAAATTTGGCAGACAGTTTGTCCATTTTGAAAAGGCTGAGAACAAACACAAATGTCAGATGCCTCATGTTAGAGGAGCTTTGGGCATGAAAATTATATACCTGAGCCATTTAAATGGAAAGGTCAAATTTAGCCGTGGTGTAAGCTGCAGTTCCTTCTGACTTCCTTGTGAGCTGTACACACTCATGTTATTTTACAGATGGATTCTGGCATCATTTAATGCTAGTTTTCAGTATGCCGGAGGGAGTATATGGTGCATTTAAAAGAAATAAAGTGTGCACTCCCAGGAGTGGTCTACAATAGAGAAATTAAACTGTCTAAACCCCCTAGAACATTTGTGGAATGATTTATGTCCACACACACACAAGTGCCCCATTTAGTTTACAAATGGTCTAATGACTACTTAGAACAGACTGTGTTTCAACAGGTTTAATAATGGCTGGTAAAAGCTGACCTAGTCCAATCTGAAAAAAACTTCAGTGCCATTATGGATCCAGATAAATTGAAAAGGTCCAACTGGCCCTTCAGTCCTCTCCACAGGCAGAAGGAGGGCAAGGTGGTGCTTTAGAGAGGTTCAGAGAGGCATGAGACTCTCTGAACCTACTTAGGTTGTGGCACGTATGTTGAAGAAGATTGTTGCCTACCAAAACTCATGCCTTTCTGAATCTCTCTAAGTTTCATTCACATGACAGGCAGATTGTTTCTTCAGGGCTGTGACAGATGATCACTTGAATAATCCCTGTACTGACAATCCTTACAAATGTTCATTGACACAATAGACTGTAACAGTTTCAAAAGATTTACGGATATATGGTTTACAGAGTCACTGATACGTGAATTAAGCACTGACTGACTGAAACTAACTCTTCAAAAGGAGTCATTATGATCTCTATAGAAATATAGTGATTTCAATGACAACATCTTCAATGAAACTTCAGAAACACTTATTAAAAAAAATGCAGAAATGTATATTTAAATAATGCCAGTGATCGGCCTTTGAACCATGAGACTGGAATTCTCCATTCATGGATTCTTAGCTATCTGTGGGACTTAACAACAGGAATGGACACTTTGGCTGCATCTGGACACACCTTTTTGGTAAGTGGTACCACAGTGCTGAGCCTGGTGCAGCTCCACTGGTGATGCCTAAGTGATGTACTGGTAAGGATGCAGGTCGCTGGTGACACTGGAGCTCTCACCCTGGTGTGCATGACACAAGATTAAAGCACAGACAGAGCCTGGTCTTCATCATATTCCTTTTGTTGCTGAAGGTTAACAAAGAGGATTTCCACAAAAGAGCTGTACAGAGTACACTTCTACTCTAACATCCTCATTGTCCTCCTCTGGATCGACCTTTCTAAATCCTTCCTGCCTTCACATCATAGTCTCCCTTATCTGTACTGTTCTCCTATGCTGTCTCTTGACACTCTGCATTCTGCAAGCACTTCTATGCACAAGTACCTTTACTCACAAAAGTAGTTCCATTGAAATTAATGGGTCGATATTACTTGGATGAGTATAGGGACTCACAGCTCTAAGTGTCTGCAGGGTTCAGCCCACCCACTGTGAAAGGATGTGGGGAAGATAAGAGCAGTCTCACCTGATTCTGAAAAGTGCCCTGAAGTCTTGCAATGCAGGATCACAGGATGAATCACTAATGTACAATGTTGCCCATCCCCCAAACAGGCCTTGTATATAGTTGGAAAAACTGAATCAGGCCAAAGATGGCAACTGGGAAGTTCCCAACAA